TTAGAAAATGTTGAAATCTGCGTGAGGTACATACAGTCCATTGAAGTATTTTATTTTCACACTTTATCTAATACAAATAAAACTAGTAAAAAAAGTCCTAAAGTCGGGCGGGGCCGACTTTATGATACCCTACACCACTTTGCTAATTTAGTAGAGCTCCACATAACAATTAAAAGTTTTTATGGGAGAATTCAATCATACACGCTATGATTATAAATATAATTTAAAGTTCAAAGGACTAAATATGCCGAAGCATTTGTTTAAATTTTTAAATTCGGACTTGTATTGCCCATTTGGTGCAAAATTAATTTGAAATCGGATAAATATATATATATGGGAGCTATATCCAAATCGTAAACCGATCTTGATAAAATTTGGCAAAGATATTCCATCCCATTCCAAAAGGTAAATCGGACGAAGTTTTATATGGGAGCTATATCCAAATCTGAACCGATCTCGATAAAATTTGTCTATGGTATTTCTGAGCTGCATTTGATATATTTCCCCAAATATTATGGTTACAGAGTGCATATTACGGCTGCGGAGAACAAAAATAACAAATCGGATGAACAATATATATGGGAGCTATAGCTATATCTGACCCGATTTCGATAAAATTTGGCATACTTATTTTCAGGCCTAATTTGGTTATATGTGCAAAATTCCATACTATTCGAGCTGATATTACACGTTTGGTGCACAATGAAAGGCAAATCGGACGAAGATATATATGGGAGCTATATCTAAATTTTTACCGATTATCTCCAATTTCAATAAGGTTCGTAGTTGGGCCAAACAAATGTTGCTTGGAAAATTTCATCTCAATCGGATAATAAATGCGACCTGTTTTTTGTTCACAATAATACATGGACAGACGGACGGACGGACAGACGGACCGACATGCATGAAAGAACTGATTCTATGGAGATCCTCAATAGTAACTATGGGTCTATCTCGCTTCCTTGTCCATGTTACAAACAAATGCACAAAGACATAATACCCTGACCACCTTGTGGTGTAAGGTATAAATATTGCTATGGGCTAAATTACAAGAAAATCGAACATGGATATCCAAACTTATGCGAAATCATAAATTCCATATTCATCTCAGGTTTCTGGTTGGGAGAAATATTAAGAGGTAGCTAGTTGTAAAGAATCGCTGAAAATTGTAACCCTTTGTGGAGGAGGTACCAGAAGGAATGGTTTGATCTCCACCATCTTTATAACAGATCTTGTGCTAGCAAAAAATTTTACATGTGTGACATGTGGAGTGAATTGGAGGCTTATTTCGGTTTCTGTTAGCGTTTTGCTTTTGAAAATCTTGGACCCTATGTGAAGGAGGTACCAGAAGAAATGGTCCGATCTCTACCATTTTTATAACACAACTTGTTTTGATAGAAATACACAACAGATCTTGTGCTAGTAGGTAATAATGGGATGTGTGAAATATAAAGAGTACCGGATACTTATTTCGGATTTTATGATCGTTTCGGTTATTTAAGACTTCGACCCTTTGTGGAATAGGTACCAGAAGAAATGGTCCGATCTCTACCATCTCTATAACAGATCTTTTTTTGATGGAAATACACAGCAGATCTTGTGCTAATAGACATAATGGGATGTGTGAAATATGAAGTGAACCGAATGCTTATTTCGGATTTTATAATCGTTTTGGTTATTCAAAACGTTGACCCTTTGTGGGGGGAGGTACCAGAAGGAATGGTCCGATCTCTACCATCATTATAACAAGTCTTGTGTTGATGAAAATTTTGGGATGTACCAAGTCTCAATGGAATCGAATGTTAATTTCCCATTTTATGAGCTTCATGGTTATTCAAAATTTTGACCATTTGTGGGGGAGGTACCAGAAGGTGTTTACCGATATATCCCATATTAACAGCAGATTTTGCATTAGTAGAAATAATGGGATGAGTGAAATATGAAGAGAACCGGATGCTTATTTTGGATTTTAGAATCGTTTCGGTTATTCACAACTTTCACCCTTTGTGGGGGAGGTACCAGAAGGAATGGTTCGATGAGATATACCAAGTCTAAATGGAATTGGATGTTAATTTCGCGTTTTATGAGCTTCATGGATATTCCAAATTTTGACCCCTTGTGGGGAAGGTACCAGAAAAAGTGGACTGATATATCCCATATTCGCAGCAAATCCTGTGTTATTTAAAATGTTGGAATGTGTGAAAATGAAGAGAATTAGATGCTTATTTCGGATTTTATGATCATTCTGCTTATTCAAAACTTTGACCCTTTGGGAGGAAGGTACCAGAAACAATGCTTCGATCTTTATAACAGATCTGGTGTTGACAGAAATATTGAGATGTACCAAGTCTAAATGAAATCGGATGTTAATTTCGCGGATGTTAATATTCAAATGTTGACCCGATATATCGTACCTTTACAGCAGATCTTGTGTTACAAGAGCTAATGGGATCTGTGAAATATGAAGAGAACCGGATACTTATTTCGGATTTTATTATCGTTTTGGTTATTCAAAACTTTGACCCTTCGTGGGGAAGGTACCAGAAGGAATGGTCCGATCTCTTATAAGAGATCTTGTGTTGTTGAAAATATTGAGATGTGTCAAGTCGAAATGGAATACGATGTTAATTTCGCGTCTTATGAGCTTCATGGATATTCACAATTTTGACCCTTTTTGGCGGAGTTGCCGGAAGGAGTTGACCGATATATTCCGTCTTCACGTCAGTGCTTGTGTTGGTAAAAATATTGGAATGTGTAAAATTTGAAGACAATCGGATGCTAATTTCCCGTTTTATGAGCTTCATGGTTATTGAAAATACTGACCTTTTGTGGGAGAGGTACCTAAAGGAGTAAGTCGATATCTACCACCTTCACAGCAGGTCTTGTGCTAGTAATAATATTGTAATGTGTAAAATTTGAAGAGAATCGGATGTTTATTTTGTAATTTATGAGAGATACAATTATTAAAAATGTTGACAATTTGTGGGGGAGGTAGCAGAAGGAGTGGTCTGATATATTCCTTCTGCACGCCAGAGCTTGCGTTGAAAGAAATATTGGGATGTGTGAAATTTGAAGACAATCGGATGCTAATTTCGCGTTTTATGAGCCTCTTGGTTATTGAAAAAACTGACCCTTTGTGGGGGAGGTACCAGAGGGAGTGGGTCGATATCTAACATCTTCACAACAGGTCTTGTGCTAGTAAAAATATTGGGATGTGTGAAATTTGAAGAGAATCGGATACTTATTTCGCAAGATTTATATTTATTCAAAATTTTGACCCTTTGCAGGGAAGGTACCAGAAGGAGTGGGTCGATGTCTACCATCTTCACACCAGGTCTTGTGCTAGTAAAAATATTGGAATGTGTAAAATTATTCAAAATTTTGACCCTTTGTCGGGGTATCAGAAGAAATCATACGATATACTCCATCTTCAGAGCTGCTCTTGTGTTAGTAGAAATATTGAGATGTGCCTAGTTTGAAAGAGATCGGATGCTCCTTTCACGTTTTTTGAGCTTCATTATTATTCAAAATTTTGGACCCTTGGTGGGGTAGGTACTAGAAAAAGTGGACCGATATATTTCATTTTCACAGCAGACCTTGGGTTAATAAAAATATTGTAATGTGTGAAATTAAAGAAGAATCAGAGATTTATTCCACATTTTATATATATTTATACCAATTTTTGACCCTTTGTGAGTGAGGTACTTGATGGAGTGAACCGATGTTGTCCATCTACGCACCTGACCTATCGCTGATGCAGGTAGGATTTGCAAAGTTTAAGCACAATCGGAAGATGCAGTAAAATATTTTCTTTGCAAATTTCGTGAAAGGAGGTACCAGAAGGAGTGAATCGATATTGCCCATCTCTGAAGTCGATCTAAGTTTGAAAATAATATTTCGATGTATCAAGTTTGGGGCTAATCGCATACTGACTTGGAGAATTATCGTGAGCACCAGCCAGACAGACAGACGGACGGACAGCCCCATATCGACTCCAAATGTCCTGAAACGGATTTGGTCCAAAGAGACCTAGAGTCTAAAACCGTGATATATATAACCTCTGTATCCACATGGCTGAGGCTATAAAAATCTGTATTTTTAGAAGTTTCCTGTTGGTATTTTTTATGGCTTTTCAAAACTTCGACTTTTTGCAAGGGAGTTCCCAGAAGGATTGAACGGATCTTTTTCTTAAAAATATGGCAAGATGCGAATTTCCATTTCTTTAAACTTTTAATTTCTTTGAACTGTTGTGGACAAGGAACCCGAAGCAACTCCATTTGTCCTGAAACAGATTTCATTGAAAGAACATGGGTTTAACTCTTTTTTTTTTTTGATAAGGTATTGACCGTATTAATTATATAAACCTCCAGCTATTACGCGAGGATAAAAAAATTCATGTAGATTGCTTGGACATCCTTCAAAAAATCGGTTCGAATACTCTGGCGAAAAAAATATTCTTAAATATTGTACGTGGTCTGAAAATTCAGGAAAAATAATAATAATCTTAATGGATGTTCCGAACACCCTTGAAAAAATATTTGCAGAAAAATCCTGTTTGATTGCTAAAAAAATCCTTGAAAAATTCGCTTTAAATACTCTGATGATCCTTTAAAAATATTTTTAAAAAATTTACGTTGATTGCTCTGATGAACTTAAAAAATATCAGTAAATTAAGGGAGGGATGGTTCTCAAACTTGCACCTATATTTGAGTTTTTTGGCTAAGATGTGGCCTACTGTTACGTTTTCAAAATATATAAAATTATTATTCAAATAAGGCCAAATCGATTGGTTAGTAAGGTCAGAAGCCTCAAAATTGAAACATTTAAAAAATTTAAAGTTTAAGGTCACCAAGAGTGTATTATTATGACGTTTTTCAGTGCCAAACACTTATATCCGAAAAAATGTCTTAAAAACATGCAACAACGGCAACACTGTAAATAGAGAGTTTACGTACCAAATATGTACTTTATATACGTATGTATGCATGCATAACAGAGCACTTCTTAAGTAACTACGGACAGTGTCGTTTTTTGTTTGTGAGGGCGGAATGTAAAGTACAAATATGCGAGATGAGATCTATGGCGATCTTTAATCATTGACAGCTATTAAGTCCATGGTCGTAGATTTCCTTGATACCACTGGACAACCCGAAGCCGCCAGCAATGCAGACGTCGTTGCAGACGACGATGATGCTGATGATGCCGCTGATGCTCCAACATTCCCAACCGATGAAGATGATGACGAATTTGTCGGTGACACTGAGCCCAACAAATCCTTCTGCGAACCACTCAACAGTTCATTGACCGTGGAACTTAACGACAGTAGCGAATCATTCATGGAATTGCCCGCAATCGATGATGACGACGATGTTAGGTTATGAGTTAAACTGTGACGTCGCAGATCGCAGTTACGTCGGAATACTTTACCGCAGGCATTGCAATTGTATGGTTTGATATCGGTGTGAGTTAGAAGGTGAGTCTTCAGATTGGAACGTTGATTGAACGAACGATTACAGACGGGACACTTGTGCGGCGACTCTTCCATGTGGAGGATTTTATGCACGGCCAGGGTTCGCGATTGACAGAATCCTTTGCCACATTCGGCACATTTGAACGGCTTCTCCTTGGAGTGAATGTATCTAGAAATAGGGAAGAGAGGTAAGGGGATGGAAAATATTTGAGGGATGAAATAAGTAAATAAATTTAAATAAAGATATTAGTTTAAGTATCCTTTGCCCTAACCCAATTGAGTAGTTTCTTCCCAATTCAACTACGTATAATTCCGTTCAAAGGAGACCAGTGCTATTTATCAGTTTTCTGCCTATCATACATCCTACGTTCTACTCTCTAATATAACTCAAGCTATTGCCTAAAAAAGCTTTTGACTGCTTGCAGGTACTCAATATAAATTTGTTAATCACATTTGTCAATTTTATCATTACATGGCAACGACAACAGCCTATCCCTAACATTACCAGTAAGCCAAAAATATTAATGGGAAATTTTCTCGAAATTTACCAGACAAATTCACTGCATGTCCAACTACAAAACTTAATCCGCCGTAGCCCGCAATGAAAGAAAAAAAAATAAATAAAAACCAGCAAAAATTGAGGCTGTCAAACATAGTCGGAAATTAAGGTGAACTAGTTGAACTCATAGGGTATTTACCTAAATGTAAATTACGAAATTATAATACATAGTAATGAGTTACCATGACCTTGTAATGTGTGAAGTAATGACATTTTTCTACCAAGTCTTTAATGGTTAAATGGTTAAAGTCTTCATCCAAATAATGGGTCTTTCCTTTGAAATTTACGAGAAAAAATAACCAATAGCTCCTTAAGCAAATAATCTAAATATAAAACGTACCGTCAAAAAAAATCTGACCTTCAAATGCAGTTTATATATTTGGAAATCAAAACATTGAAAATGGGGAGGTATTATTATATGGAGGGTAAATCCACGTTCTATCACAAACTGCATATGCGATACCAGCTTTGAGGTCCTATTCCAAATTTTCGACCGATGTATTGCAGCCTATTAAGATATAAAAGAGCCCTTAAATAACTGACTGACCGAAAATCTACGCCCAGACGAAGCGGCTGAAACTAGAATCTTGAAATTTTGCACGAAGGTCAGTCTTGGTGCGTAAGATAGGAAATTCGTACTAAAGATATGCAAAAAGTACTAAAAATGTAATATTTTGTTTTGGACAAACGGAATGAACTAGAATTCTGAAATTTGAGATGAGAGTCAATGATGGAGTGCCGGATAGGTGTACCAAAGGGTTTTTGGAAATTCGAACCTTAAGGTTTCGAAAAGTTCTTAAATGGTACTAAACTCCTAAAAGGGTACCATATGGTATTATGGGACCGTATCGAGCTAAAAAATTGATATTTGATATGAGAGTCAATGTTGGAAAGTAAGTTTGATATGTGAAGGTAGTTTTGGAAATGTGTGCTTTAATTGTTCGAAAAGTACTAAATGGTACTAGATTTGTAAAAGCTTGGTTTGAGGCGCTTGTATTTTCAAAAAAAAAAAAAAAAAAAAGGTCGCTGTTCATGTGTAGCCTTAAAATATGAGGGTGTTTTTGGAAATGTGTATGGCAATTGTACGAAAAGTACTGAATGGTACCAAATGTGGTCTTTGTTGAAGGGTAGAGATAAAATTCTAAAATTTGATCTCAACTCTGGTCTCTATCTCTGGTTTTGAAAATGTGTACTAAGTGTGGGAACTGTGCGAACTGGTAATAACAGTTTGTTATTACCAGTTTGTGGACGGATAAAGCAGGAATTTTCAAATTTTTTAGGGGAGTCGCTGTTGGAGTTTAATTTGTGATAATGAGGTGGTTTTGGAAATGTGTACTACAAATGCACGGAAAGTACCAAATAGTACTATATCTGGTACAATTTGGCATTGGCTGAACAGGTAGTGCTTGAAATCGGAAATTTGATATTAGGGTATCTATTCATGTGTAGCCTTGAAATATGGAGTTGTTTTTGGAAATGTGTACTAAAATTGTACGAAAAGCACTAAATGGTACTAAATTTAATATTGGGTGAAGGAATAGGTCTGGTATCCTCAAATTCGATATTGAGATCTCTCTTGGTATCTGGAATTAAGATATGTACGAAAAATAGTACTAAATTTGGTATTGGGTGAAGAAATGAAGCTGAAATTCTGAAATTTAATATTCGGGTGTGGTTTTCCAAATCTTTACTAATTTTAGATCACTGTTAGTGTCTAGAATGGAATGGCACTGTATAGCGATAGCGCCCAAGTATTGTTATTTGAAAAATGTTTCCCATATTTTCCAATGTAATAGGCTGCAATTTGGTAGTTGTTGTTTGGTATTTTAATATATTTGAAGTCGATCGAGCTATGTTTGTCTGTGTTCACAATATCTCTCGAAAAGAGTTAGATTAAGTTCTTGTCTTTTCATAATTAAAATCTCTTTTATTGGCAGAGAGACTTTTATTTTAATACAGAGTAAGGGGTTGGAGGAATTTGAAGAAATTCTATGTAAAGAAGACCTCCTGTAGACCAAAGATCTATGGGCGAGATAATATCGCTATGGATAGATCTTCTATATTTAAAAGGCCAGATTAAACCCCAAAAGATGAAATTCCCTTTATGTTTAGAATAACTTTTATGGGTGAACCCTGAAAAAATAATATTTGAAAATATTCGACACTTCTATTGTGCCTTTCTTAAGCATGAAAAAACTTCCAATTGGGAGTGTTTAGTACAAAAGCTCTATCTATTTGGAAAATTGGTTTGGATTTGGATATATCTCCCATATACATTTTAGCTCGATTTTCCATTTACTGCATGCCAAATGGTTAGAAAGGTCAATTTATAAAATTTTTTAAAAATAGGTTCAGATATAGCTCTCGTAACCCCTCAATATCCTCTATAAAAATTTAAATGCGGTACAACCCAGAAATACTTTTACCAAATTTGGTTGAAATTGGATTTAAATACATTTCAACCTAAATTCATATAAATGACGCCCTAACCATATTTCGTATGTCCAGTTATACCAATCATTAGGATATGCTCATATATTAGGGAAAAAATCAATTTTTCCTAAGATGTCCATTTAAAATGACGAATTTAAAAAATATAACCAAAAAAAAATGATTATTGAAAAATGATTATTGTTTATTAAGATGTGCCAAGAAACCCATCAAAACACCAATATGCTGGATATTATTACGAAAAAGGCCATTGAAAAAACCTGACTAAATTCATCAAAATAACGATGGAGTGATGAACAATTGCGTGGACATATATAAGCAGTTTTTGGCTAGGAGAAGATATGTCCATCAAAAATCAACAGAATTTCAGAAAATTCCATTAAAAATGTAACCAAAACAATGAAAATACGGAATATCTGGGAAACCTTTATATGGGGGCTACATGTAATCGAAGGCCTATTTACACAATTTTTTGCCAGGGTCATAAGTACTATTAAGAGCTTTACTAATTGGATTCTAGACAGTTCCATTGAAAAAAGCGGCTAAAATTATAAAATAATATGAGATTCCGTTTTATGGGTAGCTACACGTTATAGTGTATACCCAGGGGGTATATTACCCACAAAGAACTTCATGCGTAGAATTTCGTACAATTTCATTGAAAAATGTGGCGAACTAGACCTGCCTGCACAAAAAAGATTGTTCTGTGCAAAATTTTAGCTACCTATCTCAATTTGTTTTATTCTAGCTTTATTACAATAAACGGACGATCGGACAAGGCTTAGAAATCGTCTTAGAATTTTACGCTGATCAAGAATATATATACTTTGTAGAGTCTAAAATGATTATTTCGATGAGTTATAAATTGAAAGACAATCTTAATGCACCCCTATGCTATGTATGTGGAGGGTATAAAATAATACAGTACCATATTTGTTTCTCTGTCTGAATCTGCTTTAAAATCAGAGAGGTTTTTTTCTCTAAATCGTGAATAAAGTTTTATAGCGAAAATTGAATTTTATCCTTATTTCGTTGATGAAACGCCATATGATCTATGGTTCTGATTGGCTCTATGAATGAGAGAGAGAGTTCCATACTACGCTCTTAATTGGCAATCAAAACGTTTGTCTTTGCCTTGAAATATGATGCTCTCTCTCTCCCTCTCTAAAAAAAACTCTCTCACGTGCTCTCCACACACAATTGAAGCCACTGAAAAACCATTGACTATCACAGCAATACAAGCAAGACAGCCTAATATTCGATTTACTCAGTTTATATATGGGGGCCATATAGATATGGGGGCCATACCAAAACGTGAACCTATAATTACAATGACTCGCCACACGAACTGGGACCCATTATGATCTACAACTACCAATTTTCAGAGAAATTCGTGAAAAAATGTGTTAAAAATTATCAAAATACAGAATATCGGGAGGTATCGTTATATGGGTGCTATACGATATCTTGGACCGATATAGGCAATCTTCGAACTTAACATGCCTGCACAAAAAATTTTGTTTTGTGCAAACTTTTAGCTTCCTATCTCAATTAATTTGTTTTTTACAATAGACGGACGGACAAATAAGGCTAAATGGTGTCAGAATTTTACGCTGACCAAGAATATATATATATATTTTATGGGATCTAAAAGAATTATTTCGATGAGTTACAAATGAAAACCTAATACACCCTCCGCACTATGAATGTAGAGGGTATAAAACAATACAATCCCATATCTGTTTCTCTGTCTGAATCTGCTTTAAAATCAGAGAGGTTTTATTCCCTAAATCATGAATTAAGTTTTATAGCGAAAATTGTATTTTATCCCAATTTCGTTGATGAAACGTCATATGATTTATGGATCTGATTGCCTCTATGAATGAGAGAGAGAGTTCCGTACTACGCTCTTAATTGGCAATCAAAACGTTTGTCTTTCCCATGAAAGATGATGCTCTCTCTCCCTCCCTAAAAACTCTCTCACAATTGAAGCCACTGAAAACCATTGACTATCACAGCAATACAAGAAAGACAGCCTAATATTCGATTTACTGTCTGAACCTATATTAACATGAGAGAGACTTGAAAAATGTATTTTTTTTTTTGGCGGAAACAAGGAAAACCTATTCCGTTTATTTAACGATGTTTGATAGAGCTGATTGGCTCTCCTCTCTTTGACATAATTTGCTTATGAATGAGAGAGAGAGAGAGGGAAGGAGAGATTTATATAACGTGCTTTTCCTATGACTTAATTGGTTCTCATAAAGTTTGTCACAAAAGTGGCTCTCTCGCCTGCCCTCCACACTTAATTGAAGCCATGGAAACCCCACTGACTATCACAGTAACAAAACAAATTCAACCCCATTTCTGATTCTTTGTCCTAACCTGCTTAAAAATGAGAGAGGATTCTCCAATCTCCCCATCCTGCAAATCCTAGATTAAGTTTTCTAACGCATGGTTTATCATTATTCCGTTGTTGCAACCCACATATGTTCTATAGATTTCATTGGCTCTCCACTCTTAGAATTTTTTATAAGAGAGAGAGAGAGAGAGAGAAAGATAGAGTTCAATCTCCCTCTCATCCTATGTCTTAACTGTTTATCAAAAATATTGCCTTTCCTTTCAAAGCTAATTCTTTCTAGAGAACCTCACTTTATATTTATAATAATAAAATAACAAAATCCTCTACTTACCTATGATCCCTCAGATGATCCTGACGCCTGAAAGCCTTGCCACATATATCGCACGAATAGGGCCGTTCATCGGTGTGGGTTCGCTCATGAATCAGTAAATTATAGGACTTGGTAAATTGACGATTGCAAAATTTGCAAATAAATTGTTTCTTGGTGCGTTGGGCATTGGCCAAAACCGCCGATGCTTGGCCAGTTGTAGCACCTCCCGCACCACCGCCACCACTACTGCCAGAACTACATAAAATCGCCTCCGAGTTATTTACCGTGCCATGCAGAGAGTTACACTCATTGACATTTAGGGTATTTAGTTTATCCTGGAACATGGAGGCCTGCAGGGCAGACATTTGATCTAGGTGATCCTGTTGACAGGAACTATGTTGCTGCTGCTGGGCACCCGTTATTGTGGACATAAGGGCACTGTTGAAGAGGAAACTATTCTCCAATTCCGTGGAATCAAAATTCAAGCCATCATCACTGCTATTGAGTATTTCACTTAGATCTGAGCTGGAGTTGTTGTGGTTGTGATTGTTGTTGTTATTGTGGGCCGAGTGCAAAGAGTGAAAAAGACTATTGGCCGAGGGTAATTTGGTGGGCCTTTCCGTGTAGCTGTGGCCCTCATTATTGTCATGGTGATTGTTGGAAGATTCCTTGCCCGTATTGGAGGAGGCGGAGGAACCAGCTGAGGAATTATTTGCTTGTTGTTGATGGTGTTTTGTGTTTGTTGTTATTGTTGTTGTTGTTTCTGGTTTGTTGTTGTTATCCCCACTGTGCTGCTGCTGGTGATTATTTCCCACGCTATTAAAACGAAAAACATCCGATTTACCTGTTATACGCTGCAATGCCAGATACGATTCCAAAGCTTGCAAATTTAAGGCAGCAGCAGCTGGCGAATTAACGGGCAACAAAGCGGCCTGCTGCAAACTTGTTACCATCGTACCCTGCAATGATAGAAAAACAGCTGCAGCAGCTGCCAAATCGTTGGTGGTGGTGGTTGTTGTAGTGGTGCCGGTGTTGTTGTTGTTGTGGGAATTGCAATTGGAATTGTTGCTGGAATTGGAGGTGTTCGAAGCTTTGCTAGATGTTTGAGTATTATTTGATTTGCCGCAGGCATTTACATCCTTGGTTGAGCAGCTCGCTGCCGATGATGATGATGATGAGGCTGCTGCTGCCCCTGAAGATGAGGAAGAAGATCCACTGCCAGCTGAGTGTTGTTGTTGTTGCTGCTGTTGCATGTTTGTGGCATTAACCAAAACCTCCAGTAATGCCGGATTATTAATGATATCTGCCAAATTTTGTGGGCTTAGATTGGAGTTGGGGGTATTGTTGTTGGATGAGCTGGCGGAGGAGGAATTGCTTGTTCCCAGCAACTGATTACGACCATGATTGACCTCACCACTTAGGTTGAGGTAGGAATAGGGTTCACTGGAACTTACTTTCTTTGTTGCTGCTGTTGTTGTGCTAGAGGTGTTTGACGATGTTGAGGTGGCCGCTGAGCAGGCGGAGTTGTGACCTAACGAGCCGGTGTTGAATTCCAGGTCCAGAGAGTCCATTTTTTGAAAATTTGTTGGGTTTTATTTTCCAAATATCAGCAGGTCATTAAAAATGACCTCTTGATTTTTTTTTTTTTTTTTTTTTTTTTTTTTGAAGTAGGTCCTCCCACGCAATTGATGCTCACAACTGGGCCCACACAAGCGACAAGTTCCAATGAGTTTGATTTATTGAGTTTTGCCCTTAAAAAATGTTAGGTGTCACCATAAATCATGTTTAATCACGTTTGGAAAATCTCATAAAATTTCAAATGGTTCTCAAATATTTCCGCAAAAAAAAAACAGCAGTTCCAAAATTTTCCACTCAATTCCAATTGGGGAAAATTTCCACCTTTTTTTTCTGATTAAAAATTACTTGATTTTTTTTTTGGCCAGGGAAGAGGAGTCTACCCCCCTGAATTATTGTTTTTTGAAATTGAAAACACTTTTTTTAACTGACCACTGTTGTCTTTTGTTGTTGTTTTAATTTTCTTTTCTTGATTTTACGTAGACCGAGTAGCGATCAACGCGCCCAGTGTTGAGAAGACCACGAACAAACTAAATGTCCATTGCCTAGTGTATTTCACGCGGACCACAAGAGCAAATCAAATTTTGAGTAACCAGCAGCAGCAACACGATCACAACAAAAAAAATCAAATAACCAATACCAATAAGCCCGGCCAACTGATTCAGCGAGAAAAGAGAGAAAATAAAAGAAATCTCTCACACACAAACAAAGGGAGAGAGAGAGAAAACCCTTCTCCTTGGTTAAATGAAATCTATGCAACTTCAGGTGTTGTTGGGTGATCTTTACTCTACCAAGGGAGAGAAAAACTTCAAGAGAGCCGTAGAGAGCGAGGGAGAGAGAGTGTGTGAAAAGAGAGCTTGTATATATGGAAACACATTGGACAGGTGAGCCAGGTAACCATATATCTCACACACATACACCTTGACTTGACTGGTTGAGCATGACCAACACCACCACTTCCACTCTCAGAACGAGTTCCCTGGGGTCTCAGCTGCTCTGAGTTAGGAAAACACAAGCATTGCTTGCTTTACCCTCCAACAAAGCTGTAAAGAAAACTGGTTAAACGGCTATTCCGTAGCTACGACGATGATCTTTTTGCTTATGATCGTCGTTGTTGTCAATATGGCTTGTTGGCTCGCTGGCTTTCTGGCTGGTCTGACTGCCTGAGACCCGATGGATGGCTTGCTTAACTTGGAGCCGGCATGTGTGGGTGTCATGCTATGAACCTACAAAATGTAAATGAATGTTATTTTATTGCTACGTTGGCCTTTGACGCAAAAAAAAAAAAGACGAAGAACCAAACAAAAAAATCTCAGCTTGAAAACGTTTATACATTTGTTTTCAGCATCGTCGTCGCTGGGGCTGGGGAAATGATTGCCAAAGAGACAGCAACAACAATCTCAACTGTCGAAAGGCCCCAAAGCTACACACCCTAAAAACTTAACTAAATGTTTTATTTTATTTTATGGCTTCTCTGGTGGCTCTGGGTTAAAGCTCAATTTACGTCTGCCAGCCAGCTAACGTTTCTGGTTCCTGATGTGGCTGGCTGGCTGGTTATTCTTCTTGTTGTTGTTGTTACTGTTGCTTCCATAATTGTCGCCAAATCACACAAAATTGGCCAAAATAACGCAAGCCAGCATCTAGGGTTTTCCAGGTTGCATGTTAATGCCATTATGCACTGGGGTACCGAAATCTCATGGGCAGCCCAGCCAAGAAGCAGTCAAAACTTAAAGTTCATCAAACAATTATGAGTGATAATCGCTGGCCGAGCATGGTCGATCGGGCCGGCCAGATTCGACAATCAGAAGCATCAGTAAAACCTTCATCCTTCATGATCTCCAGCAAATAAATGGCCACTCTTCGCTGCCTCACAATTTATTTTCACATCAAATTGTAATTTTGTTACGGCAGCGTCCAACCATTTTGATACCACTTATACAGAAATTATGTTGATTAATGTCATCGGAACATGTCATTCGCTCGTTGTGGCTGTGGCACAGCCAACCAAAAAAAAAAACATCAGCATCAGCGCATTAGCATTCCGTCAATGATATCCTGGTAAATCATGGGATCTTTGGCAAATTTTTGCATGATCATCATGGGAGCCAAAAGAAAAAAAAGAACACATGATGCCACATTTAAGCCATCATTTCGTAGGTCAAATGCTGGGCATTTAGGGAGGATAAGAAATTTCAGGATTTTCTTGGGAATTCATAATTTTAGGGGACAGCGAAAGGTAAAAAATCCGGATGGAAGTAAATTTGTCATATTTTATTGAAGACAATCAGTTGGAATAAATGTTTAGGAAAATACCAAAAAGAATTAGGAATCGTAAAAATCAGATCCTGCTCGGACTACAACAAGGGCAATGAAGCCGGGGATTCATTAAAAGTTCAGGGATACCGAAAGGTAAACAACCGGTTAGAATAAAATTCGGCATATTCTATTTAATTAAATCAGTTTGGACTTATTGTTTTAGGGAAGAACTTAATCCAGGCAGAAATCAGGACCTGGCCTAGGGAAAAGGTAGATTGTATGTCCTTCTTCCTATTACCAAACTATGGGTTTATTAAATACAGTAACTACTTACGAACCAACGCTTTTACCCCATATTTTATCATGGAGATACCAAACAAAGTAAGTAGTTACCATCCTGCTATCAATAACTAATTACTAAGTTTAAACGAGGAAATACGACTATGAGAACACTTGACTTACGCTCAAATCCAAAAATTCTCAAAATCCCTAAAAATTTCGAATTTCTGCTATTAAAGACTTTACTTATATTGGATTTGCTTTTCTGGGAAATATAAAATTACAGCTGATTTGGTATGAAATATAGGCCAACTGAGGACCCACAGAGGGACCAAAATGTCGAATTGCAGACGATTTTCTAAAATCTTCAAAATACCGAAACTCTAGGAGGAAACTCTATATGGGACTATGCCTAAATGTGGGCCATTATAGCCCATCTGCAGCACCAAACATCGTAGGATAACAGCAAATTTCTATACCTTCAACAGGGGGAAGTACGAAAGAAGTGGTGGAGGGACTTCGTTGAATTGTCTTAGCATGGTCAATAAAATATGAGTCTACGACAAATGTGTGGAGGGCTTAATCAGTGGAGGCTTAATCAGTTCGAATGTATGTTTCGCCGATTACCTATAGCTTGCATCATGTTTGTCCCAATCGTTCAAATTAAAAATATATTGGATTTATATATTTTGGTACAAAAATCGTTGGGTGAAGTCAGAACACTATTGGCAACTCCTCTATGTGAAATACACATTTTTTACCCTCAGCCATAGCTGGTAGTGGAGTTTTTTTTTGAGAGACACTAAAAAAATGACATTTTAAGGACAACTTCTGGTGGAACTATTAGATATATAATCATTGGTAGCGTAGCCCGACGTCAAGGAAGTAGACAGAAGAAAACAGCAACATCAGCAGAAATGGTTCGGAAAGTAAAGAGGCGACTTGATCGAAACCCGCGTCGCAGTGGCTCGTGAGCAGAAAATATCGCAATATTCCTTTCGGCAAATATTGAAATATGAGCTTGGGGTAAAGCAATTGATATTCCAAAAAGTGCAAAAACTTACACCGCAACAGAAAGAAAATACTCTCAAAAGAGCTAAAGAGTTGCTTCGCTTGGACGAAAGTGGTGAGCTGCCGAATATGGTTCTCTCCGATGAGAAAACAATCGTTGTCCAGCAGTTTGTAAACATTCAAAATGATCGTGAATACCTGCCAAAGAGGTCAGCTAAAGATGTGCACCTTCGGTTAGCCACCAGAACTCAAGCGCCGGCCATGGTGATGGTTTGGGCCGCCATAACAGCCGATGGTCGCTCTCCGCTCGTATTTATCGACCGTGGCATCAGAATAAATGCCAAATATTATCGCGAAAATATTCTGAAGGGTGTATTAAAGCCTTGGGCACGCAAACATTTTGGCCGCAGACCTTGGACATTCCATCAGGACCATCGAACTCAGAACGCGCCACCCAAGAATGGTTACAAAATGAGGTTCCTCACTTCATTTCCAGCGCACAATGGCCACCAAAAACTCCGGATACAAATCCGTTGGACTATTGTGTCTGGAGTATTTTGGAAAGCAAGGTTGGCACTAAAAAATATCAAAGTGTTCATCACCTCAAACAAGCGCTTTGCCGGGAATGGGAAAAAATACCGCAGAGCAACATTAGGGCAGCGTGTGACGGTTTCATTGGCCGTTTGAAGGCCATAATTCGTGCCAAAGGTGACCAATTCGAACAAATCTAAACTTATTCTAAAATTTGATGCTATTTTCGACATTTTTTGTTTTCATTCAATAAAATTTCGAAAAAATTTAAAAATTATTATTATAATTACTTTGTTGCAGTTTTTTTATCTCACTCTATATAGCAGAATTTTTTGACTTTTAAGGGTCTCTCAGAGCCAAAAATGTACTTCTTATCTAAAAAATCAAATGTGGCCTCAAATTTCTCGAAGAGAGAAGAAGTGGTCCGCCATATTCTATATTCCTATCTCATCATGTGTTTGTAGAAATATGGGGTGTGAGCAGTTCGAAAAGAATATGATGCTTACTTCAGATTTTATAATATTTATGATTATTTAAAATATTTACCCTTTGGAGCGGGCGGTATTGCGATATACCAAGTTTGGAATAAATCAATTACTCTCTTTGAGAGTTATCGATCCGACAAGCGGATAGACCGTACAGTCTCAAAACAGATTTCGGCCAAAATTCCCTAGGGACTGAAACCCTCATATCGATGAGGCAGAAACATATAACGTGATAAAAAATGTTCTAAGTCTCTCATAAACCAACTTAATACATGAAATACATTCGTGCCGAAGATCCAAAAACCTGCAACATTATCTAAAAAAATGTGGAAAAATTATAAAAATATCGAATATCGGGAGGAACCGTTATATGGACATTATAGGAGAACATGAACCTATATATACAAATCATCTTCCACTCTAGTAATGAGATTTAGCCATTACGAACTACAAATACAAAATTGTAGACAAGTCCATTAGAAAATGTGTCTTAAATCGTCAAAATACCGAAAATCAGGAAATTCTATTACATGAGCCAGTTAGTGGACCTGGATCGAAAATTGTTTGCCAGAAGAAAACAGACCTACCGAGAACCCCATTAGTCAAGTTCCATCCAATTTAATTCGAATTTGTGACAGAAATCTTCGAAATACCGAAAATTGGAGGTAGCGTTATATGTGGGGCTATACCAATTTGTGGACCTGTAGCGAATATGTTTTGCAGGTGCCAGAATAGACCTACCAAAAACCCTAAATGGAAAATTGCAGCTTGGAAATTGTTGCAGAAACCTTCAAAATACCGAAAATCTAAACGTATAACAATACCTTAGTGTCAAATTCTCCTTATAATTTCATTCTGACAAGGAATATATATGTATATTTGTTGGAGTCTCCAAACACACAAATAACAAATTTAATAAAGCATCCATTGTATGGTGGAGGGTATAATAATATTTGATGAACCCTCTT